CTGAGGACAGGTGTCAGTCCATATCTGCCAAGTGACCCTATGTAGGAGGAACAGTCTCTATTCTGCTCTGTGTCAGTGTGTCAGGGGCTCTGAGGACAGGTGTCAATCCATATCTGCCAAGTGACCCTATGTAGGAGGAACAGTCTCTATTCTGCTCTGTGTCAGTGTGTATCAGGGGCTCTGAGGACAGGTGTCAATCCATATCTGCCAAGTGACCCTATGTAGGAGGAACAGTCTCTATTCTACTCTGTGTCAGTGTGTATCATGTTCTCTGAGGACAGGTGTCAATCCATATCTGCCAAGTGACCCTATGTAGGAGGAACAGTCTCTATTCTGCTCTGTGTCAGTGTGTATCAGGGGCTCTGAGGACAGGTGTCAATCCATATGTCAAGGTGTCAATATGTCATATGTCAGGTGTCAATCCATATCCATTGGGATTTAGGAATGTTAGGTGATTTCTGCCCTTTATGGATTAAGACCAGACTGCATCAACTGTGTAATTTTCCATGGGAGTTTTGCAATGGATCCCCCTCCGGCATGCCACAGTCCAGGTGTTAGTCCCCTTTAAACAACTTTTCCATCACTATTGTGGCCAGAAAGAGTCCCTGTGTGTTTTAAAATTCGCCTGCCCATTGAAGTCTATGGCGGTTCGCCCGGTTCGCTGGTTCGCGCACATTTGCGGAAGTTCGCGTTCGCCATTCGCGAACCGAAAATTTCGGGTTCGCGACATCACTAATTCCAATCAGCACGGTGTAACTGGGGTTAGAATATTCCAACCAGCACGGCGTAACTGGGGTTAGAATATTCCAACCAGCACGGGTTAAGTGGGGTTAGAATATTCCAACCAGCGCAACGTAACTGGGGTTAGAATATTCCAACTAGCACAGTGTATCTGGGGTTAGAATATTCCCACCAGCACGGTGTATCTGGGGTTAGAATATTCCAATCAGTACGGTGTAACTGGGGTTAGAATATTCCAATCACCACGGCGTACGTGAGGTTAGAATATTCCAATCAGAACGGCGTAACTGGGGTTAGAATATACCAATCAGCACGGCTTAACTGGGGTTAGAATATTCCAACCAGCACGGCGTAACTGGGGTTAGAATATTCCAATCAGCACGACGTAACTGGGGTTAGAATATACCAACCAGCACGGTGTAACTGGGGTTAGAATATTCCAATCAGCACAGCGTAACTGGGGTTAGAATATTCCAACCAGCACGGCGTAACTGGGGTTAGAATATTCCAATCACCACGGCGTAACTGGGGTTAGAATATTCCGATCAGAACGGCGTATCTGGGGTTAGAATTGCTGATCTGGAAGTAATCACAAACTCAGCCATAAATACCAGTATTAGAGAAAGGGTCCAGGCACTGCAATGTCTTCAGGCCCCTTTATCGGAACATGTGGAAAACTGGAACATGTGACTTTGGCAAAGACTCCATTGAGACTTGGGAGTCGAAACGTTGCAGTATTCCACATGTTCTAATAAAGGTGCCTGAAGACATTGGAGTGCCTGGACCCTTTCTGTAATACTGGTATCTATTATCTTCTGGGCTTCCCCAAAACACATCCTTTTCCCATGAAGTAGAAAACATCTTAGCCACAGTTGAGAGAAACACTAGCCACCGTTGCATCCACCCACAATGTGTTTGTAACACAAAGTCCTATTAGAGCCATCTTTGAAAGCTGGCAACTGGCAACATTCCACCTGGTCATTGTGGTCCAGCTTGGAGATGAATGGAATCAGTCACACCACACGTACATTAGAAAAATGCTGAAATGGACACTCCATAAACCTAAAGTACTTCAGCATACTAAATTGCTTTACGTGTGAAGAGTGTGTCTCCTTTATTTTCATTTTACAAAAAGGTTAGGTTTCAATAGTTTCAATAAATTTACCTTGTTGCACCCATCTTGGCTGTCAATCAGACACTTGGCCCTGTTACTTCCTGGTTGTTTAGCTCAGTGGAACTAAACTCAATTGCCCAGAGCACCTGCCTTGCAAAGACTTCTCATTGAACTGCATTTGTTTGCAGTTTGTGATTGGACAGCCACAGAAAGTTTGGGCGAGGTTAGAATGGGAGGGGCTACAAAGACTGCAGACAAGAGATTTACAGATTTTACAAGCCGTTTTTAGATAATTAAATGCATTTTTTCATTGGGATATGTCTGCTAAATTGTGATCTTTGATTTTTGTGTCTGTTTGGGCAGTGGAGTGTCTTTTTAACATCGTTGTTAAAAAGTGAGATAGGTCTGTAGCTGGATCAAAAAATTATTTCAGTGGCCAAGATCATCTCCATCAGAGCACTGTGGTAGAATTCTCTGATCTTTTTCATTTTTAAGCTCCACTATCGAGAGTGCAAAAATTTTTTTAAATTATTTGATTGGTTGTTATGATATGAATCGCTTAACTATGTTATCTAACAAATACTGGGGCCCTTTGAAATACGTTTATTTAATAGCAGCTCATGTGACACTTTTATTGCACATAGTTAGACTCCTTTTACCTAATGGCACAACTAATAAATGGACATGGTGATGGTTTCACTGATACTTACCCAGATATCTCACATTTAAGGGAGTGAATACTGTAGCGGAGAGGTAGTATAATCCACAGTATCTCCGCTGGGTAACAGGAACAGCATAAAATAATCCAAGGAAATGAATACAGCATACAATAATCCCGGTAGCGTTATAAGAATCCTTCCCTTCCAAGAACTAGACGACACATAGGCTGGGAGTCAACTGAGGTTTTATTCACAGGTCACTGTATTTATGGGATTCCCCATGCAAGGGGTTTCCTTACTGACATTCCAGGGGTTTTACAGTAGGGGACTACATGGGGAACTGACCAACACATACATTTCTCCCACCATGCACTGCTGCACGAGAGGGATACTCCCACTAGAATATACCGCTAAGTGGATTATCCCTCCGTGCTGCAGAACTAATATTTCGCATTAAAATCCATAACTTTCACATTATTCACTCTATTTAAACGAATGGGCGTTCGGTAGATAGCTGGAGGCTGAGCGCACAGTTCGTGAGAATACCGTTATATAAAAAAATTATTTCCTTGCATTCTAATAATATGGGAACAATTGAATTTATGTTATTATGTCGAAGAAGGGTTTTCACCATTTCAAGCTATGAAAAGACGAGAATGTAATCAGTGTGATCACATTGCAAATATTTTCAAAGAAAGTGAAAGCTTGTTTGAGCATGGTCAAACCATCAACCCATTGTTCCTGTAACATTTTGTAATTGTCTCACTTAATGTGAAATTTCACATTTTTTATAATATTGTACAGCGCTGCGGAATAAGTTGGCGCTATAAGAAATGTCACTAATAATAAAAAAAAATACATTTATTCTTTATTATAACAGTGCACAGAGATCGTTTTCTGTATCTTGCACTTCTCTTTTAAATTGAATCATACAGACACCAATACGTAAAGTTATGGAGTTAATGAATAGCTTAGATAAATAGAAGGAGTGGTGAGACTCCCATGACGGGTCTCTTAATGGCTTGGATACAGTTGCCAAGAAAACATATCTGTGATGGATTCTCATCTTGACAGTCGCGTGGAAATTGCCCTGCGAGGAGTTAGGCTTGCAGTTACTGTACAGATCTTTTATTTCCTGCGGGGTTTCACTCAAGTTACCAGGACTGATCATTGATATTCACAGTGAGGCCTGTTCAGGGATTGAGAAATTCAGAATGATTTCGGAATTAAAAGAGACTTTTTATCGTCTCACTACAGCTAAGGCAGCAGGTCTGGTCGAGCGGGTCTCTGATGCCCGTCCACAGGTCGGTCCTGGAAGACATCCTTCCCCTTCAATGTTCCTGATGACAAAAATAATTCCCCAAGAAAGAAAATTTCTTTGGCTGGTCTACCATACGCAAGACGCCAATAGGAGAACAGTAGCAATAATTACAATTATTTATATAGCGCCAACATATTCTGCAGCGCTGTACAATAGCTAAACCAAGACAAACAATTATTCTATCGAAAACACATTGACCAATATGGAAACATACGTGAATATAGCTCTGCCCACATGAGCTTACAATCACGGCATTCCGAGGATTTCTAGTATATTATGAGATATTTAGGATTCCATCCTTGGACGATCTCCTTTTTAGTAATTTTCATAAAATTACCCCACTAATTTCGACCCAAGGATCCTCTTGGTGTGGATGATAATATTATTATCACCGTGCAAGGTATGATTTTATACTTGCAGAACGATGCTGTGATCGGCCGCATGCAGTAAATGTGAGGGGTCAGGCTACCTTCATTATATCAGCATCAATCATTTCTGCGCCCTATTTATTGATATTGCTACATTAAGGGCAGAGGTGCAGGGCAGGCAGTTATTTCCACTCGTCGGATATCCCTTTTCCCACATTTATATGTGAGACTTTAAGCATTGGTATGATTGTTCTATTAATGCACAACACATTTATAATTTATAATTTATACAACTCTACGTTGTGCCTGTCATATTAATAAATTATTGATAGAATTATTTGAAATAATAATAACAAAGTATTTAACCAGGAAAGGTACGATCAGATTACTCTGGTTTTCAACTACGTCCTGGGGATGTTACCATCACACTGCCCCTGTCCCTGCACCCTATGTGCCTGGGCTGATTATGTTATTTTCGTTATATTGCACCTTATGTTACACTGTTTATTTTTTATCTGTAGCTCTCTGTTGATAACTAAGCTTTATATACCTCTACTAAGGAGGAGACCTCTGCCCACCACGCTACCTAATGATGAGCGGGTAAATTACTCAATGTATGTCAGAGGTTTTTCCCCTGTTGACCTGTGCCATGTTCAGCACTGCTATTTGGCATCTATGTTGGGTTGCTGCGGGACGCGAGGTGGGGACGGTACACAATGAGAGGAACAGGCCAGGGTAAACAACGGCACAATGTTATATATTTGAAAACTAGTGTTGGTTGTATATTGACATGTAATGGCGCACTTGAGGGCTATTTAGCCACACACTGGTTCCTACAGGTCAGAAGACACACATAGAGCACCGTGGCCGATTACCTCGCCCCTAAGCATCTAGCTATCACGTGCGCTAACATATATGAGCTCTCACTACTCAAGCTAAGACAAGACAAGGCCATCTTTACTAACAGACCTCACTACCTTAGGCCATATGAAAGGAAGATGCTCACCCCAGGAAGAAACCATAAGCTTCTACCCCCATGACACTGTATTTCTGTGTTTAGCCATCTGCATGGCACTACTTTCTCTCTTTCTGTCACTCTGTTACACCTCTTCCAGCACCTATTAGGACTGTCCATGTTCTACACTGATGTTCAGAACCGCGTGGGCGGCTCGCTAGACGTAAACCACTGGACCCCACTGAATGTGGGGGTCTGGACCATAAGTAACGCTAATGAGAACAGCCAACAAAGGCGACATACCAGACAGACATGGGCTAATACGCTCTGCTTGTTCAAACTGGGAAGAGCGTACCCCGTAAACATTGATTGCCGACAACCTCTTTCCAATCATAACTCTGCTCAGTATGACCCTCCATGAAATTCTGCTCACTTAATGTTAGAGGACTGAATATTCCAGTCAAGAGGTACATATTGGGCAGAGAATTGAAATCCCTGGGAGCGGATGTAGTATGTCTGCAGGAAACACACTACAGGACCAATGATCACGTATACAGCTGGCTAGCTGAATACCCCTTCCAATATCATGCAACCTCTCCCACTAAGTCTAAAGGAACCTCTATCCTAATTAGCAAACATGTAGCCTTTTCCTTGCAACACCAGGAAATTGACCCGAATGGCAGATATGTGATCATCACTGGACTGCTAAATAACGTCCTATACACCATTGCGAATGTCTATGCCCCTAATACGAAACAAAAATGATTCTTCCACACTATCTGCATTTCTATGCTCATACATCAACAAGCCCTAAATAAGATAGGTTATCAGTTGAAGAAACGCAAGGCATCCCACTAGGCACAGGGCAACAGGGCCAGCAAATTATTAGCACAGCGGCTCAAAACACAACAGGCCAAGCACAAGATACCTTATATACACTCCAAAGAGGGGACCAAACTTATGATGCCAACAGACATTAGCAACGAATTTGCTATGTACTATGCAGATTTTTATAACTTGAACTCAGATCCAAACACGCACCAACCTACCACAGAGACCATTGACAAGTACTTACGCAACACTCAGCTCCCCTCGCTCACCATAGAACAGAAACAGACGCTTACTGCCCGCCCTGGTCACTATAGAGGAGGTGCTAAAAGCAATAGACCTCCTATCCTCAGGCAAGTCCCCTTGCCCAGATGACTCGGACAACTCATACTATAAGACCTTTAGACACACATTAGTTCCACGCTTGGTAAACATATTAACAGAAGCCATAGTCACCCAATGACTGCACCATGAAGTACTCCTTGCTCATGTGGTGACCCTGCCCAAACCCGGCAAACCACCAACCCATCTACAAAACGTCAGGCCAATTTCCCTCTTGAACTACGACGTGAAAATATTCGCCAAGCTCTTACCCCTTAGACTGGGAGCTATGCTGCCCCACATCATACATAACGATCAAGTGGGTTTTGTGGCGGGATGCCAGGGTTCAGAGAACACACAAAAAATAATAGATATACTCCACAGTCTACTAAAGGGGTGCATTAGAGGGGGAGGTCTGATCCTATCACTCGACGAGAAAGCCAAAGGAATAACACCCTTTTTTGTAAGGCTTCATTGTAAATTCCTGGAGGCCGCCATGGTTAAATTCGAAATCACGGCTAAATTCCTCTCCACCGTTCAAGCCCTTTACCACTCGTCAGAAGATCCTGTCGGATCCCTTCAAGATCTCCAATGGGATGAGACAGAGATGCTCGCTGTCACCCCTGCTATACGTGATGGCCCTAGAGCCACTGGCGGCCGCTATAAGAAATAACACATCCGTACATGGGGTGCACATAGGTGACCACGAATATAAAGCGAATCTCCTCGCGGACGATGTCCTACTGACACTGACCCAACCACGCGTATCCCTGCCCAACCTTATTAAGGAACTCACTATATAAGGACAGGTCTCTTTTTACAAATTGAATGCAACCAAGATACAGGCCATGGCGATAGACAAACCAAGCGAAACCATACAATCCCTCCAAACTGCCTTTAACCTGTACTGGAGAACCGACTATGTCACCTTCCTGGGCCTGAAACTCCCAAATAACCTGAGAGATCTATTCAAATACAACTATGACAGTTTGCAAAAAGACATCACAACAACGCTCCAATCCTGGGAGGGCAAATACTTGTCATGGGTGGGTAGATTGGCGGCAGTGAAAATGTCACTGCTACCCAAACTGCAGTACCTCTTTCACACCCTACAAATTCCACTACCTACCAAATATCTAGACTCCGACCAAAGAACTATAGTGCGATTTGTTTGGGCCAACCTCAGGATAAGGGTAGCCACTGCACTGTTGAACAAACCAGTGGAGAGAGAGGGGTTAGGGCTACCCAGCCTGAAGTTATACTACAAAGCAGCCTTGCTGTCCTCTATGATAACAACTAACTCATGCAAGTGTTAATCCCCCGCAATGAGTGGCAATAGAATCATACTGGATGCGGAGGGAGGGACTGAGATACTTATTTTAGGCACCCCCACACCTCTGTCCTCACACCTCGGACTTACTACTACGAACATGGGACTTTGCCAGGACAACCCTGTGCTCCACTGAGCCTTGGTCCCTGGCCACTCTGATATACAGTATACATATAACCAACTCCTCATTTGACTATCGGATATGGCAGCTCAAAGGTTGTACTACCCTACACCACCTTTATTCTAATGGCAAATTATTAGACTTCCTCCAAGGTCGATTTGACTTGCCCCATAGGGCATTATTTTCCTACCTACAACTTAAATCCATGCTAAGTAACCTAACTGCCACTACACAGGACCTACTAGCCATGACATAGATAGAACAGGCATGCCTAGCAACAATAACCCCCCCAAAAAACATCTCCCTCAGCTATAACTTATTCAACAAAGGGACCAACGATACACAGGATAAACATATAATAGCATGGCACTCGGACTTAAAGGCCTCATATACAATTAAGCAATGGCACAAGGCCTATATGGCACGCAAGGGTAAAACAGCTTGTGTATCACACTTGGAACAAATTAGGAAAATGCAATATAGATGGTACATAGTGCAGCGTGGACTAGCAAAAATATACCCTTACACCTCGGCTACCTGCTGGAGCTGCCACAAGGAAAGAGGGACTATGTTCCATGTGTGGTGGACATGCCCACACATTAAACCATACTGGAAAGAGGTGGAACAGATAGTCTCGGCCACATTGAAATTTGGAACTACTGTTTCTGACTTTAGACCAATTCAAAAGACAGTGTGGCGTTTTGATGTTCCATGTCCTGATAGCTGCCCTTACATTTGTAGCCAGGGAGTGGAAACCGACAGGGGCTCCAGAAACAACTGCCCTGATACGACAGATCACAACAAACTTCGACTACGAAACTATGTCCCATAAACAAATGACTCCCAAGAAACATGTTGTGGCAGCACAGGGACAATGAGAGGACTACCTTAAGACCCATACATCCGCATGATCTGATCTGATACACTAACATAGAACCTGGCTGTTAAGACACCTCCAGTGTCTTTAGGCAAAACCGCCGTTTAGTAGACCTTCCCCGTCTGCAATAACAGTAACTCCGTTCGCCTAACCTGTAGTGCACCAACCAAATGCAGGGGAAGCGGCAATCTCCCGACCGGGATCCGTGAACGGTTTCAAACTCCCGAACGGCAATACACGAACTACTGCTAGCCGCCGAACAACAATATCCACCAAGCGGCTTCCGTTCCATCCAGCAGTCTCTAAACGTGAAGAAGAAATCCCCCCAATAACGAGACAGAAGCTCCACATTGAGGGTCAAACAGGATCTGGCTTTACTGTGGGCTACCTGCCCGTATTTATGCAGGTCTCCCACTTGGTGGACACTCCCCTAGGGGACCAAATGGGAGACTTAAATGACAGACAGATATGGGGACATTCCAGACACACAGTCACAGATTTTACCCACAGTGCATTATGATTCCCTCCCCTCTACCCTGGAGTTAATTACCAAGTAACTCAATTAACTCCAGGACAAAGCCAGTCGCCATCTTAAATATAAAATCATAAAAGACATAAAAATGCATAACTTCAAAATAACCGAACATTTCCCATTCGTATCACATATCCCCAAATAGCCTGAATCTGAGTGCATATTATTAGCGAATAGCGCTCAGATCCCACACACATAGTTCAATCGCCATGGAGTCAAAGTTCTTACAGTCTTTCGGTATACGAATGACTCCATGGGAAGGCTATCTGGGTTAAGTCTTTTCGTATGCTCCAAACCTCCCGAACGGCCGGTATTCGTATGCTTTCGTGGAGACAGCCAGGCGTTCCGTTGTTTCAGCGGTGTTCGGCAGAAAAAGTGTCAGTTTTTAGTTCCATAGAAATAGAGCCAAACACCGCTGGGCTTTCGCGTGGTTTAAAATGGCCGCTGCCTCGTGGTCGACATACGATCGACAACCACCCTGAATTCGGTTTAATTGAGAAGTGTCTGTGGTTAACCACAACGTTCTAATTGGGATCAATAGGTTAACCAGCAGCACACTTCTCTCTTGGGTGGCCGTCCGTTCGGCAGGTTTGTTCGGGAAAAACAGTCATTCGAATGGCTGGGCTTAAAGTACACAACTAGACTTTAAGACCCTAGGTCGAGTGAGGGCATGAGGGACAGTAGAAGCCCCCAAGCCCCCAAGGGGGAAAACCAACTGAGACTGTGCAGTCAAAGCTCAAACTATTGACCTACCACCCGCTTTGCTGGACCAGACAAACGCCCACAACCAGTCCACGCAAACCCAAATGCCCCATAACCATTCCCAGTTCACACTCACCATCAAGATGAGATCCCAGACCAGATACAGTATTTCAGAGACAGCATGCCAGGTTCACTCTCCATACTATATCAAAAGCCATAGAAGCTCGAGGGGGGCGGGGGGGGCACCAGGGGCATCCCACGGGTTATGGGAAGGGTGGGAAGTTAGCACAGGGAGGGCCCTGGGGTAATGCCTCTTGAATTGAATCGAGAGGAACTCATGTGTAAAATGTGATGAACTTACCTGGCTTTCAAAGATAATGACTCTGTATACAAACTGTCTCAAAATTGTAATTACGCAAACTATGTTTACCCCCACCCTTTTTCTTTCTGTACCCCGTTCATGCTTCTTCGAGCCCTTCTATCAAGGTAACGAAAAACAAAAAACAATAGGGAGCGGACGCATCTCAGCAGACCTCCCAGCCAAAACCCGCAACGAAGCCTGATACCAGAGGCTTAAAACCCTCAATTAACTCACCCCTGACCGGGGACACCCTCTGGGCTCAACCCAGCAGCCACACATGCCGTTTGTATACCCGGCATGGGGGAATCGACGGTGGCGGAGACCCGATGCCTACAAGCCCACAGCAGCCCTCAACTGGTCGGCAGACTTGCACAGCCTGAAGACCCGGAGGTGGAAGACCTCCACACAGCATTCCTACCTACCCAGGCAACGATGGGCCGCCGGTCCCAAAAACCCCCACCGGAGACACCATCAGGGTCCAGGGACATAGGTGCCATGCTACAACACCGACGACCGACGCCCAAAATGGAGGAACATGCTGCCGCACAGGTACCAATAGACCCCATGCCGCCCGACCTACCCCCAGAAAGGGCTCAGACACACAAAGAGACCCCAGATGGGTCTGCCCCGGTCACCTAGCGGGACTTTCAAAATCTGGTCGGGGAAATTAAAAACCTCCTGGCAACCAGCATAGCGGCCATTAAAACTGACATGCAGGCTATCACAGATAGGGTGCAGACCGCAGAGGGCGACATCTCTGGCATTAAGCAGGGACTGACAACCCTACAGGAATCTGTCCTGTCCCTACAGGTCCAACAACAGGCACTCTCTCTCCACTACACCGCCATCGATGACAGAACGAGGCACAACACAGACAGGATATACTGCCTCCCATCCTCAAGCAGAGCAGCCCCAAACATGGTCTGTGATGTGATTGTCCGCTGCGCCGCCTCCCAAGACAAGAGAAGCCTGATGACGGCACTCCGGAGCAAGACGCCTTTAACATTTGAAGGCGCACAACTCACCGTTTTTCAAGACCTCACCAGATCCACGCTGCAATGGCGAAGATCGCTAAACCCGGTCACGAGAGCCCTCAGAGAAGCGGGATTAGAGTATCACTGGAGATCTCCCAGGTTTCTGGTGGTCACGCACAAAGGAACTGTTCATAAACTCTCCACACTAGAGGAGTTCCTGGCATTCTGTAGGGCACTGGGCCTTCCCACACCCACGCAGGATACCACCCAAAGACCCACGTCAGATACCTGACTTCCCAGAGAGCCAAATAGGCAACAATAACCGGGACATACACTGTCCACCCCCAGACGAGATGCCCTTAACTAGCTAGCCCTAAAACATACCCAGCCCACTTGTTCACATCTCAAAAGGAAGGATCTGCCACTCCATCCCCACGCCCCCCAAGGGGCCTCGCAGGTTTAGGGTACGTTTAGAAGAAGGCCCCAAATCTAAAACCCGTACAGGTTGCATTAAATCCACACATACTACACAGCCGTTCTCCCAGATCAGTTCACACACTCCTGATAATGTACCGGTGCTGGTCCACAACCTCTATGGCACATCCTCATTCTCACATTTATGCTCATTCTGTATTGTAAAAAAACATGTTTAAGTGTATTAAATGTTCAGTGTGTTGCGGGACCCGCATGGGTATGTTTTAAAAAAAAATGAAATAAGCTCAATAAAAAGAGATTGACAAAAAAAAAAAAATAATAATAAAAATTGTCAAATTGAAAAAAAAAAGAAAATACAAGTAATATTCTAAAAAACGAACAGTTTAAGATAATGTTTTTTTTTCTCAGTCAGAGATTAAGGCTGGTGTCAGAAATCTTACCGGCAGACATAGTCTAAGGTCAGGACTGAGGGTGATCACATGGAGAAGCACAAGATGAGATGAAGTCTAACAACGAATGTGAGAATAACGAGCTAAGATTTAGAAAACACTATACCACGCCATAAGATTTCACATTAAGTATAGATCTCGAGGGTTATTTAGTAAAGTGTGGATTGTCAGGAAATTAATTTCAAAATGTACGCAAAACTTAATGAATTGTAAATATAGCTGAATTGGCCTAAAATTTGAAATTTACTATAATTTTTACTTCAGGGAGATCATGCCAAACTAATCTTATTGATTTTTTTGATTGGGTAACTAAAATTATAGATCAGGGTGGTGCAGTAGACATTGCTTACCTAGATTTCAGTAAGGCTTTTGACACTGTTGCACATAGAAGGCTTATCAATAAACTGCAATCTTTAAGTTTGGATTCAAATATTGTTGAATGGGTAAGGCAGTGGCTGAGTGACAGGCAACAGAGGGTTGTAGTTAATGGAATATATTCGAAGCTTGGACTTGTCACCAGTGGGGTACCTCAGGGATCTGTACTTGGACCCATTCTCTTTAATATTTTTATTAGTGATATTGCAGAAGGTCTTGATGGTAAGGTATGTCTTTTTGCTGATGATACTAAGATATGTAACAGGGTTGATGTTCCAGGAGGGATAAGCCAAATGACAAATGATTTAGGTAAACTAGAAAAATGGTCAGAATTGTGGCAACTGACATTTAATGTGGATAAGTGCAAGATAATGCATCTTGGACGTAAAAACCCAAGGGCAGAGTACAGAATATTTGATAGAGTCCTAACCTCAACATATGAGGAAAGGGATTTAGGGGTGATTATTTCTGATGACTTAAAGGTAGGCAGACAATGTAATAGAGCAGCAGGAAATGCCAGCAGAATGCTTGGTTGTATAGGGAGAGGTATTAGCTGTAGAAAGAGGGAAGTGCTCATGCCATTATACAAAACACTGGTGAGACCTCACTTGGAGTATTGTACACAGTACTGGAGACCGTATCTTCAGAAGGATATTGATACCTTAGAGAGGGTTCAGAGAAGGGCTACTAAACTGGTTCATGGATTGCGGGATAAAACTTACCAGGAAAGGTTAAAGGATCTTAACATGTATAGCTTGGAGGAAAGACGAGACAGGGGGGATATGATAGAAACATTTAAATACATAAAGGGAATCAACACAGTAAAGGAGGAGACTATATTTAAAAGAAGAAAAACTACCACAACAAGAGGACATAGTCTTAAATTAGAGGGTCAAAGGTTTAAAAATAATATCAGGAAGTATTACTTTACTGAGAGGGTAGTGGATGCATGGAATAGCCTTCCAGCTGAAGTGGTAGAGGTTAACACAGTAAAGGAGTTTAAGCATGCGTGGGATAGGCATAAGGCTATCCTAACTATAAGATAAGGCTAGGGACTAATGAAAGTATTTAGAAAATTGGGCAGACTAGATGGGCCGAATGGTTCTTATCTGCCGTCACTTTCTATGTTTCTATGTTTCTATGTTTCTAATTTCCAGACAATTGACAGTTTAGTGAATAACCCTCTAAAAAAAAAAATTTCACTGAATTTTTCTCCCGTATAGGGCTGTATTAGTCTGCCTATGGATTCATATGATCGCGTGATAACAGGGCCGTCATGCCGAAATTGTACGCAGGGCATTGTGGGATATCACCCTCAGCGTGCCGCTTGTCCTGTAAGCTCTGTATTTGTAGGTTTATAGCTCTAGAATAGCAATGTAAACTGTAATCTTTATCTAGAAATAAAACGATATCTGTCCATTTATTAACAATTTGGAACGCACAAGGTGTACCCGGGATTGGATTACCGACAATATGCCGCCATAATAAACTGGTTTGACAAATGAACTTTACTGGTTTACAAACGGAGAGTAAATTATACCTGTCATAATAACCCCGCAGCTCATTTCATCTCTGAACACACGCACTCCGAATACCAGCACATCTTACAACCGGTCCTTCTGGCGACAGCTAGATGTGTAATATTATGTCACTTTCGTTTTATCAAAAACATCTCTGTGAACTCCATTAGGTTTTGGTACGTGGAATAATGATGTGTCTTCTCCAACACTGCTCTCCTAGAACAGACATGGTGTCACCTTCAGCGCGGCCAGTTGCTGCGTTCTTCACAGTGACATTTTGAAACAAGGCCTGTAGCAAGATGGAGGTTTGGTTTTTGGTTTTTGTACTGCATGTTTGTGTGGGGGGAGTTCTTAATACATGTTTTTCTTTAGGTATAATATCTGTCGCAGGTACAATGACATACAGTAAAGTTATGTACAAAGCAAGACAAAGGGAAATGGGCCTACACTGGAGTACGAAGGAGACATATTAGTATTTTTTAACATGGGGGCTTGAACCCCAAGAAACTGTGCTAAGGCGGGCAATTAAAGGACAGGCGTTCCCTATATATATTAAATTATATATATAAATATACGATGAATTTGCAAGATTTAAACAAAAAAAACTTCTGTTCAGACTAATTGATTAGTCAAAAGATTTAATCCATTCGGGGCAGGGCCTGACTGCCATGCTGGGCAGATGTGTATCGCATGAGCTCCGGACTAATCAGAAATAAATAGAGGATTTTCTGCTCAAAACTCGAGGAAATAAAACACTAAGTCGGCGGATCAACCTCTCTGGCAGTACCGGAGCTCAATATAAGCAGCAAAAACAAACTATACGTGGACACAATCCCGGAGGGCTGGATGACTGACCTGCGGCCTGGTGAGCCCCGGAGAAACGGACGATCTCACAATGGGGAACACCCAGACAGCGGAGGAAATCACCTCACAGAGCCCCGGAACCCCCCCTCTGGACTGGTGGGGGATATCCTGGTCCGGGAGGCTACCTGGCGGATATATGCACATCCACTTGGTGGCATCCCAAAGCGGGAAACAAAGCGACCAAACCAATATGGCGGACGCCATGTGCGCAGCACAACCCAGAACCCAGACCTCGCAAGTAACCACACTCGATAGAATCTTCGAAGATTTCTGGGCAAAACTAAACCGTGCATTGCAAGCACCCTCCTCGCCAACACCGGGCTTCAACTCACCACACAAGCGGCCCCCAAGCACTCAGCATCCTCCAATGGCTAAGGCTCCAAGACGGCGACACCTGCCGCGAAACGTATGACAGATCCAGCAGATTCACCGACACTCAAGCGGAGGGGGGGACAGACATGCTCACCAGTTCATCGACCATCTGCATGACGAACAACTACCCGACACCGCTGTAAAGTATACGCCACTGCAGTGAGACTCTCCCGTCACCTCACAATCGATAAAGGGCCGCTGAGACATCACAGGAGGCGGCCTAAAAAGCACACAGCGAACTATGTCGCAGATACCAACTACGTCCAGACCATGAAGGTCCAACACCCCTGGCTCAGGGGACCCTGCAGAAACTGCATAGGGTGAAGAATAGCCTGCAGAGGGACCTGTTCACTCGTCATGAGAGCTGGCTCCG